TTACGTATACGTTCCGCCGCGCTTCAAAGCGCCGGCGTCACGACCCTTTCCGTTCGCTTCGGATCACTTGGCCACGTCTAAGTTCGCAGCAAACCGAGCGAAACTGCCACGCATTCCCCTCTCCCACCCTGCTAATAGAAGTGTTAAATAATCATTTTGCATAATTCTGGGTTGGGCACGTGTCGCCTATGGAAAAACATTTCCCGTACGTAACACGGTTTCTTCCTGCAATTTCTAGACACTTTAGCATTACAATTTACAGAAATATTCACATTAATTTACATAAACAATGGGAGAAAATTGACGAAAGACGTTCGAAGTTAAGAAAGTATTTTATGGGGAAGAAAATGTTTTCAACTTAAAGTAAATAAGGAAGGTTCGTTAAACAGAGGCCCGTGTATGTCGTCTCTTATTTTATTTTATTTTTTTTCTTTGGATCCTTAGAAAAGTCCAAAATAATAATTAGCCAAATGGATATAGGAAGAGGAAAAAGTTACACTTTCATTTTTTATGACCGTCTTTTGAAAGATTTAATCCTCAATTAATTGGCCAGAAAGCCGAGTTGAAGCAAAGTCTTCAATAATTACTAGAGGAAGTCTGGTGCCTGGAAGGTGCTTTGCTCTTCTCGATCCTTTCTCGCAACGAGTGGTATTGGTGTTCACATTTCCGCAACGGCAGCACGGATTTACTTCCGTCTTAGAGTTACCGCCGGCCGTGTATACCGATTTCCGCCGGTGATGTGGACCGATTTCCGCCCGAAAGCACGGCCGACTGCTTCCTCTGCCTTAAGATAGCGAGACGTGTGTCCGCACACCGAACAGAAATCCAAATTGTGCGGCCCCCCAGATACTCTCTCTCCGCATTAACGCCCCGAATCCTCCCTCCCCGAGGACAAAGTCTCTTTTATGAATTTCGCATCCACCTTCCGGGCTCTGCGGACTACCGACTAAGTCTAGATTTATCGTCGCTACTTTCTTTCCAGAGTGCCGAAAAGGCCAGTCGACCATTTATTTTATCACGTGATTTCGTGACAAAGTAAGTAGTCACGTGGGCAATCGATGCGCCCTTCCAACAGTTGAATGTTTTTTTTTTACCCCCAGTAGTCGGAGATATTTGCATTTCCCTAGTTACCACCGTTCCGCTCTTTGGTCCTCTTGGATCTTCCTTCTCCCTGAATTTCAGTGGGGGGAGGGGAAATCCGACCGGTAGTTTTACGTTGCTAAAGCACTACCCCGTGTACTCCGTTAATTGTTAAATATAATTAACTTAGAAGAGTTGGCTTTAATTCGCCATTAAGAGTCCGAAAGGGATCGAGCGTGTTGCCGGATGCCATACTTGCAGGAGAATATGTTTGATGCATGAACTGTTTGGATTCGCGGTATCGATTATACAAGCGCGATATTCTCTTCCAGACACGCTCCGTTCGGCACCAGATGGGCTCCACTTTAAAAATGACGTAATAAGAACCTTGTTACGGTTGGCAGTCGTTTCGATAAATGTTATTATTTTGGCATAGCGCGATTGTTTTAGCAAAACGCATTCTTACGTCTGGCAAATGATCGTCTTTCTCCCTTTTTATCATCGATTCCAGCATTTACCACAACTCGAATGCGGTTTTATTTATACGTTGGGAACCGGCGTCACTTCTTTGACTCACTCCGCCATGTTTAGCTCCCGAGGCTTACTGCAGTGGGAAGACCGATATCCCTCTCCCCCCCTCCCCTTTGAGTTTGCTTCGGGCGTATTTTCTTCATTGATCCGCTCTCGAGACGAAACATCTCGCTCGATTGTAAAATATTTATTTATATATATATTGATAGTTCGATACTCCGGTGTCGTCCCGAATGACGAAAGTAGTAAAGCTCGTCGATAATTAAAGAACGAAGCCGATAGCATTTTACAACGACTTTAATGTCTTTCGTAATGGTTAACTCGCAAATACTATTAACCCCTTAGGTTAAAATCGATGTCCGTATAATGGAGAACACGACCGTTCGTCCTCTTTTTTTTTTTTTTTTTATATACCCTCCACAGCTTATGCCTCAGTATCGATTCACCACTGACGTAATTAAATCCGGCGAGATTACGCGTGTTAAAACCAGATTCCGTATCCCACCCCGTTGGTTAACTTCCACATCGGTGCCGAAATTCCCCATTTATCCACTGGTAAAACGATTTTAGTCGGGAGGATGCTTTTAATTAGCATCGTTTCCTCAAACGTCACTTCCTTCTTGGGTTTACCGCCGGCCAAACAAGACACGATCCTTCCGTTTTCTGTAGTTTTTGCTCCGTTTATATCTCGTCCTTCCCCCCCTTCGTATCGATATATCGGAAGTTCTTCTTCTTCTTCTTCTTCTTCTCCTCCAAACTCTATAGTTACTAATGGCCGTTAATCACTGGCTCCACTCCAAACGGTTCCATACGAGTTTCTAAAAGAGCGATTAATCGAATGAACACGGCAGTAATAATAACAATAATAAAAAAAAAGAGAACCACCAACATTTACGGAGAGAACCGGCGGCTATTATCGTAGAGGGACCAGAGACCATTACTAAAGTAGTGCTTCGACAATCACGCTTCTACGTTATTAATGATGACGTCTGTTAATTATTAACAGTTACGACGACGTACCTCTGCAATTACTGATGAGACTCGCGGCTTTTCCCAGCAACTCGTGGGTAGTACTAGCAAAAGATCGCGTATAATTACACGGGAAGAACTCCCGAATTTATTGAATCGAATGTCAACATCAAGTTGTGTTAATAGCGGAGGGTGGAAAAAAAAAGTATACTTTCCTCTACCAAATTCCCTTCTATATTAACTGTTGTAGAAATAAGACAACAATTCTTAGTTAAATGATACGTTTATTCCTCAAATAAACACTCAACAATATCGAAATCTATAGGTTCAATGAGTCGAATTTGATATTTCATTTTAATCTCTTAAACTTATTTATCGTCTTGTCATTCATAATTCCTTCTAAATGAGACTATTTAGACAAAAGGATTAATCGTTTCCGGACAGTTTCACGAGAGAGAGATTTGACTTTTCATTGTCTTTAAAAGCCAAGATTTTGAATGGTAATACAGTAGAGCATCGATTTTCCGAAAGTCAATCATCCGAAACGTCAATTATCCGAAAGAATTCCAGTCGGCAAATTTAAATTTTCGCCAGTGCTGTGGCCCTTCAATCTTTGGCTACTGAAATATTTTACGTTTTTGATACTAAATTAACAACTGAAGTATAATTTTTTATTGTTTTTATATTTTTCAATATATTTATTTTGTTTGTACAAAATAAAAAAATAATTTTTAACGATACAATAGTCTTTGTTAGGCTTAACATTGACGAAAATTCAACGCGAAGCGACACGCAACGGAGAAAAATTTTAACATCTGATACGTTAAACTATTTTTTCGTACATAAATCGGTTATCCGAAATATCAGTTATACGAACAACCCCAGTCCCCAATTGATTCGGAAAATCGACGCTCTACTGTATATATATTCGACGAGGTGTAAATAACCCCAAATTTTGTTATAGAAATCTAAATTTACATACAAAAAAAAAACACTAATTTGTTCTCTATTTTCTATGACATTTTCCACTCCACTGTAGAGAATTTTATAACAGTTTAGAGGACGTAAACAAATAAAAAAAAAAAAACACGATTGTAAGTTGTTTTATATGTTTACACTGTTTAATTAATACCACGCAAGTGTGGAAGAGAATGGAGGATTTATTAGAAGAAGTATACTGTATATGAGTTATACGTGAGGGGTGTTTTTTTTTGTGTTTACCCATTGGATTTTTTTTTTAATTTTTAATCTAAAGTAAAAGAGCGCATTAAAATTGATGCAGTAATTTATATTTGCTACTAAGGTAATTCGAAAGGAGATGTTTTTCTGTACTTTCTTCTCGACCGAACACGGTTTTTCTCTTGTTTTTTAGCTCGATTTAATGCGCCAGAACGTAATTTCCGACTTCAAATAATAGATAATTATCTATTTGATAGTATATAATCGATTTTATAATAAAGTTAATTATGATTATCTTTTAATATATTTAAGAATCATTAAATAAATTACAAAATTAAATTATATTATAAATGCCAGAACGAGTAATTCGTTTATAACGTCCACTTTTCGGTTGTTTAATGCTAAATGATACACAAAATGTTTCTCGTTTTCTTCCCGTTTATTCGATAAATAATAACACCTCCATTTAACCCACACCCCCCCTCTCCTGTTAATTTATATTTATCTCGTTTCGTCGACTGTAAATTATCGAATGTTATCGTTGGCTTTCTCTCCTCCTTGTTTAAATTCTATATCCGTCGAGTGAGAAAAATTTACCAATCTCCTCCCCCTCAGTTTTTCAACCGGTAGTCCGCGATCTACGTCTATTATTAAAATACTCGACAGTAACTTAAAGGTTGGAGAGTATCGATATTTCGTTACAAATATTAATGATTTACTTTATAAATACTGTAACAAAGTTAAAGATTATATTGTATTATAATAAAATATCTTGATTATTTTGCTATTTAAATATTTTTTTAACGATAAATAAGAGTTAATTAACGAGTAGTTAAGCTTCACCGCGTAACACTGTAACTTTTAAGTGTATTTTTTTTTAACGGCTCGAATAATTTCACACCAGATGGCGTAACTAGATAGCGTAGACAACTTCCGGTCTTATTGGGTTTCCGTTAGGGAAAAAAAAAGTTAACGTGGGAATTTCGATATCAATGGAAAGTGACGGGTGATGGGAAAGTGTTTCCCTGAGGATTTCAACACCCGTTCTCTTCGGAATTGATTTATCGTGATAAACAGTACATTTAACTCTGTGTTTGTTTCCTGGCCGTGTCATGCATCATTCGGACAATAACCGTTGTGGACAGGTGTCGAGTCCGTCCGGTTAACAACCGCGAAGGGGAGGATCGCACATTTTGTTACTTCTAACAAACAACCCTCTTTTTTTCCCTCTCTTCTAACAGGTTTGGTTGCGGCAGATCTGACGTTGAAACCTGCGGGAGACGAACACACGTACTTCACCAAAGAAAATTTCGTCGTCACCTGTCTGGTCGGTAACGGTGATATTCAAAGTTTAGTTTGGTTCGGGCCTCAGGATAATCAGATTACCGAAAATGACGGGAGGTAAGAACTGTGTTATACTCGTTATACCCTTCGATAAATCGGAATTTCTCGTCCCTTCGGCGAGTGGTATAAGAATTAACAATACAGAGGTTGCGGCTGACGTTTTTCTGTAAGCCTTCCAGAGCGCCGCCTTCCTGTATGCCTAGAAGTTTGACAATGGCGTTTGGAACGTCGAGCACGTTCCAAACGCCATTGTCAAACTTCTAGGCTTACAGGAAAGCGCTGAACGTCCGACGTTCACGTTTTCGCGATGAAAACGTCGGCCGAAACTATTGTTTCGACTCGGGGGATCTTCAAACGTGGAGAAAAGCAAAAAGTTTCGGGTGTTTTTTCTATAGGAAAGGGTATGTGGGGGTACGAAATTGTTTATTCTCTTTGAAGTTTAATAACTCCTTTCTCTTTTATCGATAATTTCTGAAATTTTGCAAGGAGATTTATTTATTAGGGGGATCGATACTATTCAATTTTGGTGGTTGAAGATCTAGCGGGTGGTGAGATAATGGGGTCGTGACTTAATGACGATTTTAGTTTAGAAAAGTATGGAAAATTCAAGCTTTTTTTTTTTTAAAGTCTGTACGTCGAGAAACACCGTTCCTCTGTTACACGGAGGTAAAATTTCGGAACAAGTGATAGGTAGATAACGGTAATTATACGGGTAAAGGCATTTACTGTAGAAACACGAGTCTTAAATATTCTTATTCTGGTTTTACCGCGTTGTTATCGATATTTAATTAAGTGTTAATTAACGTGATTGTAGTTAGAACATATTTATCATTTGTTAAAGTACTGAAAACTTCTTTCAAGAATTCACGTGGAGTCTTCTCGCGAAGTATCGGAATCGGGACCACTGAAAGGCATCGTTCTGATGGTAGAAGACGTGAGGCTAGAAGATGCGGGAACTTACAAATGTTCGGCGGTAATAGATGGAGAAGAGCAAAGCGTCTCGTTTAATTTAGTGATCCACGGTAAGTTTGTCTCCGAAAGTATTTAATTTGCATGGAGCCTTCATTAATTTAACGTATAAATTAACTCCCTTTGTTTAGGTTCTATAAATTTCGAAAACACCGAACTTCATCAATATGCCCCCGAAGGCAGTAATATGACTGTCGTTTGTAACGTGGACGGCGATCCTAAACCTACCATCAATTGGGAATTCAAAGGAATTCAATTACAACAAGGTGGGTTTTCGTTTTATTTTTAAATATATAATTTGTCTTATTTCAAAATTACACCGTTCGGCTTTAGTCGTTGGTTGGCATCGCGCCCATTCTTCTATATCCAACGGTACTTTATACACACACTTTAATGCGGTTTTAGGTGTCGTGAATGCTAAAGAATCGGTAATGATATCCTCCCATCGACACGAAAAGAAAATCTGCTTCTACCTTTTCCGTCTGCTGCAGTCACGAAAATATTCATGTTACATATAAAATGCGTGGATATTATACTCGATTAACTTCTTATACCCCATATACTATATAATAAAACAGAGTATAATGGTTATTACAACAAAATATTCGCATCCTGAGTATGTACGAATTACGAGTATCCCGTAATGTTGTTTCGAAAGGAAGAATACCCGTCAAAATTCTTTGACTGTATCTATTGTTGTGTAAAGTATATTACACCTGGAATTTACATTTTACAGATTCGAAATATCACGTCAACGGAGGTCAACTGACGATTTATGACGTCAAACGATCCGATGCCGGAAATTACACTTGCGGAGCGTTTTTGATTACTTCGGGAAAATCTCAGATCAAGTCTAAGAATATCACCGTACACATCCAACGTGAGTATAAGTCGACGTCATCGATCCCATCCCTTCGCAGTGGTTATTAAATAAGTTAAAAATTTCAGATGCTCCGGAATGGGTGGAAAGGTATCCGGAAGATGCGTACAGTAGTGTGGGACATATGGTCAATCTCAGTTGTGAAGCACAAGGAGAACCCACGCCTACATTTGTTTGGAAGAGGAACAACGAGACCGTTCACACTAATCACGTGTTCGTAAAATACGACGAAGTGAACAAAACGATTCTTCAGGTGAGTCGGAATTTTTTTTACTAAATTCATGCCAAGAATTCGAATTTGTTTAATCGAGAAGAATTAAATGGTTTTCAGATCAATGTCCATAACGAATCTCTATTCGGTAATTACACTTGTCAAGCCAGCAACGTTATAAAAACTGTCGAAAAAACCATCGTCCTTAAAGAAGGAGGTATTTATACACTATATCTTTATACTTCTTTCGGTGTTCTTCATCCACCCCGAAATAACGAAATATTGTTTTTTATTTCAAGACACTCCGGTAGCTCCGGTGTTCTCGGTCGTTAGCGAAGAAGCTGGAACATTAATGGTTGACATATCACCTCCAGCCGAAAGCTCTTTATTAGAAGTAATTGGTTACAAAGTAGAATATAAATTATCAACAGATAACTGGAGTGATGCTCACAGCAAAGAATTCGATATAGGTTAGTACACATCAATTTTGAAACGTCCTACGAAAAGTTTCGGTAAATTAAGACCTTTTAAGCCGAATAAAACGGGTGTTTTCGTGCCTTCTTCTTCTATAAGAATAAATAAGATTATTATTTTTTATAAAAAAAACAGGTCATCGACACATACTGAAGAACCTGGTCCACGATGCGGATTACGTAGTGCGCGTAGCAGCTAAGAATGCAGTGGGATACGGAGAATATTCGGCGGAGATCGTGGCAAGAACAAAAAAAACAAATTCTCCAACAATTAGTGACAACAACAGTGCTTTGGTCAATCAATTTTCATCCATCGGAGTCGTTCTGTCCACAACGGCTTTACTGTGGATTCAAAGGTTATAAAAGGGGGAAAAACAAACAAACAAACAACACTACTGGGAAAATTTTTATCTACATTAGAATTTTGTTTGTTAAGGATAAACCTATGGGCTGCATTGTTGATATGTTGTTAAAAATATAGAAATGCCCAGATTATTTATAAAAAAAAACAAAAGAAAAATCAAATTTATTGAACAGGTTTATCGAGTGGATATATAAATATACCAAAGTCTTAACTGGCAGTAAGTTATTTTGCATTTTTTTATTAATTTTTCTTACATTCCATTAATGGAATATATATATA